GTGCTTTTATTTTTTTTTTTCAATTAAATTAAATATATTGAATTATATTAAACGACAACTACAGAACTTTTTAACTTTTCTTGATCTCCTATTGTTTCATAAAGGGTCTAAGAAGTGCTGATTCCACATGAATAATGAAAAATGTTATAATGTATTTACCTTTAGTGCTCCACAACATTCAACTGAATCAACATCTTCAACAACTACAACTCTGAAGTATGATGTTTGTATTAGATCTCTTAATGTAAGAGCCATATTTTTGTCTTTGCAACCTAAAAATGAAACATAGTATTTCAATACATCTAATCAAGCGATATAGTTTTATTAAACAGCGTTAACCCTTTTAATACCGAACAACGATATACCGTTGTGTATGCGATGGTGCCATAACTATTCGCATCGCGAGAGAACTCTCAAAATAAATTTGTAAAACGTTATAAATGGTTGAATTTGAAAAATTGTTTATGGGTTTAACTCTTTGTTGATTGATACCGAAACCATGTATACATTTAGTACTATGACTATCATTTAATTTTGTGTTTTCATACTAGTAACTTTGTTACAAATAATTGCAAATGCAGTATTTATGCTTTATACTACGTGTTCTACATCAAACTATGACTGAACGGCGATTCTTCTTATTTGCAAATACTGTTTGTAAAAGAAAACTGATTTTTCCATTGTTCCTAATAATTTTGAATAAATGTTATCAGTATGATTTTCAAAAAATATTGAAATATAATTGGCATTCATTCATTCTCCCTTTATTTCGTAATATGTCCTATCATCAATTTTGTAAATATCATTTTTATTTTCTTTTATGAGTTTTTTCTAAAACCTTACCAAATTACATCAAAAATTGGTTTGGCCTTGTAACAACCGACTATTCTAATTTGAGAACGGCGTACTTTGGATCTACCATTTTTTTTATTTTTATCATCGGGATCATAATTCTTTTCTTACGTTTATTTCGACATTTAAAAATTATGAACAATGTAAAAAGCAGGAAAATACCAGAAGTGTAAACAATGAGTAGAAAATGTAAACGAAATGTAAGTAAAGAAAAAAATTTGATCTAAATCATCCATAGAAGTACATTAGTAGATTATATGTACATTACCTATAGTAGTCTCACAAAACATTTCCTCAGCTACTTCAGCAGCCAAATTTGCTCCCATTAAAACAGCCATAGGAATGTTGAGTTCTCTGGCAATTATATGTGAGATAAGTTGAATTCCACCTCCATCTTTTTTGTCGAAACCCTGCAGAAGTGATCATTAAATTATTAATTATTATTAACTAAAGTATTACACCTTATATAAATGAAGAAAACAGTTTTAAAAAATAGTTCTTTCATTTAACCCATTGCACTCGAGTTTTTCACTGGAAATATTCAACACTTTCCGACGAGATATAGTCGACATTGTTTGAAACTAATTTAACAATAATTCACAGATAAATTAAGCAACAAAGCTATTTTATTTAAATATTTCACATAGCAATACAAAATTTCATTTAGAATACTAAATATTCATTAATTTTGCTGCATCAAATTAAGACGATACTATTTGACGAAAATTGTAAAGTAAGACGTGCGATGAATAAGCAAGTAAAAACATTAATGATAGTCCAAAATCATGGAAAATACAGGATGTTGTACCATTCATTTCTTTTCTGTAACATATTTTTCCTAGCTTCAGCCAGGGGAAAGATATAACTTGTTACAGTCACGTGAACCACCCTGTACATTCCATAATTTTATTGATTCCGCGGTAAACACATGCGTAATTTGTATCACAGGTGTTTACTACACGGTTAATTGTCAATTGTGAAATTCAACTGTTATTTTTATCGGTATAAAGGAAATAAATAAAAACAGTTAAAGCATTCGAATGTAATAAGTATTTACAATTTTCGCTTTCCAAAACAAATCTATAGATTTTCAACAGTTCCACGGTGAAAGTGGCTCGGAGAGTTGATAGTTGATTACATCGAGAAATGCTCAGAATGTGAAAAGTTAAATATAGCTCGAGGTTCCATTGATACAGTACACGTTATCGTTACATTCTATCAATAAGTGGGAAGTCAGTCGGTACGATAACATGCGTTGATAGCGTGAAGTCACTAGAATCGGCATAGGGGCAAGAAGAGTCTTCCGTTTTGTTTACCGTATTGATTGATCACCGTGTGACGTGCGACCGTATTGATGAATAGAACATTTACCCCTTGCCCTACAATATCAGACTGGCGACAGGGATTTCAGATAGAATTTAACTCCTTGGCGTACTATTCACTTTCGCTACTAATCTCGTATAATATTTTACTATCGACAATTTGGAAGAAATGCAACAAAATTTTCCATTTTACTTCAAGTGGAAATTTCATTTGAAGATAATACATTGATGATAGGAAACTAATTGTTCGCTTTGATCCGTGGGTAATGAACAACATTGATTGTTGTTAAATTAAGGGGTTAATAAATATAAATGTCAATTCTTTCAAGTCCGAATTGAATATTACTTTTCTATTATGAACAGTAACGATTCAGAGTAAACGTAGACGTAGAATAAGAGTCGAGTTTTCTTTTTGCAATGGATCAAGAAGAATAAAAGATGCAGCTCCGTTGAGCGCAGTTGTGAAGTAAACCATAACGCGAGGAGTTACGATAAAACCTCGTGTCAGAACTTTCCTTTGTTGGAAACTTTACAATTGGTTTTGTTGACATAGATGAATATGTTTGTTTCGGAATATTAAATTGTTATCGATAGATTAAAATTGTACCTTTATCAAAGAGAGGCCAACTGCTGTAGGCTTAATATTTCCTAACAATGTTTTACATATCTTATGTATAAATTGATGCGGCAGTACAAAGATAAGAATATCAGCGTCTTTCGCAGCTTCTACTACATCTGGAACGGCCACCTGGAACACAAAGATAACAAGGATATCTTATTCTGTTGAAACGAGTAAGATCGTCATTTAAATTTTAATAGGAAAAGAATCAGCCAACCGGATATTAGGCCGAGAGTCGACTCAGTTTCTGCTTTCCGGTTCTCTAATTTCGCCAATTAAGCTATTTAGAATCGTCGGCGAGTCTTTATCTTCAATGCCATGTAATCCAAGTGATACAACATGTCTATCGTGTATGTACATTATTCTGTATACAATAATCTATATCATTACTCATAAAATATTCCACGAAATGTAACAAGTTCGAGAGTTCAAAGGAAAATGTAACTGTAAGCTGGTTCATTAACACTAGATAAACGGAATTAATCAATTTGATTCATACTGAATTTTATAAGCATTATTTAGTAAATGTCTGGGTCGATTTTTATTAATGCAGTTACGCAAATATGTATCTTAATTGTCTACCCTTAAACCTCTAATTTCTAAGATCTAAATGGACGGATAACAATTTTTCTAAGAATAATAGAACAAACTGTACAGTAAATGTCAGTAGATCTAGTGTTAAAAAAACACATTTAATTCGTGGTTGGTATAGATTATGTGAGATTTACAAAATTTACAAATATACTGTAGACTTTCCAACGAGACGTGACCAGTAGCCATAAGCGACATATTTACGAGCTGAGGACGGCGATTGATTGGCAGATACGGTTATCTCGCAAGAGTGGCGCCAAAATTACTTATCGCACATTTTTGTTTACTTTTACTGCTCCGCCTCGTAAACCGTAACAATATATATACATCGTTTTGTGTCTTAGAAGGATTCTATACACAAAAATGTAAAACAGTTTTGGAGCTTGCTTAGAATTATAAGAAGCGTCTCGACCTAAACTCGGTTTCTAAAAATTAATTTTTCATTATTTCGAAGTTTCTTTCTTTAATTGTATTTGAATGATTAACGTGCGAAAATAAATATGTAAATCATGAAACAAAATCGTGATAATAATATAGCGAACAACAACAACAATGACAGTAATATAATAATATTGTAATACTAATTAACTCTTCATTGCCAATTTAGTCTGGGAGTGTAATGATGTAAATCTGTGAAACACAGTATTCTTACGAAGGAGTTTCTTCTTTTTTCATATAAGTACGATTCCTTGCAAAATCCTGGCCGCCTTGCTACACAAATGCCCTTTCCCAGATGACTAATTTTACTACTCCGCTATATCTTGTCCCTTGACTATACATACTCCGACCTTCCTAAATTAACCCTCGGAGGGCGAACGTTTTCAACGACTTCATGGACAGTGGTATCTAGAGTCTAGGACCATTTAAATTCTTAATGATCAGTTTTTCTACATATTTCCCTAATATACTTCTACGAGATGTGTTCATCTTTTCATTAAATACTGATGGAATTACGCGGCGTAATATGAATTATTTAATAAACATAAATATTAACATAAATATTTAATAAACATAAATAGATTATATTAACAAGTTGAATGTCACGATTTCATAGAGCAAAATACATGAAATGGAGACAATATAATATTAAATCATCGGATTGAATTGAATTATTAATATTGCACGTTCATCTAGCTGAATATCACCTTATTAGTTAGCATTGTTTATAATATAGAAATATTTTCAAATGATCATCGTTTAATTGAGTGGACTGTAGTAATTCAATTTGGTTGACAGTTTATTCTATTGTTCTCAGAAAGATTGATGTTTGTCTGTTTAGATCTAGGAAATCAAATGTTTAAAAATGTATTATTAGGAACCATAATCACGTAATTAAATCAATCAAAATCGATCCAAACATCTACCAAATAATGTTTATAAAATTCAATATGAGTCAAATTGACTCGTTCCGTAAATCTAGTGTTAATTATCGTTCGTTCGGCGAATACACGGAACATAATTAAGTGAGAATTTAAGATATTTACAGGAAGTTCAATGAACGTGAAAAGTTGAATGAAGTCTTTCGAAATCTCGGTCAAAATAGAGCCACGAACCGCCGTCCAAAGGTTAATCAATGACCTTTAAACTCAATCGAGATAAGAGGAATATCGTGTCGAAGTATTTTAACTGATAAATAGATATCTTAATATAAAATGATACGCATAGAATACTGTGAGAATTATAAACTACGGATTTTAACCGGATTAACCTTTTGCGGACGAAGCTTCTTTGAAATATAGAAAACCGTCAGCAGATGAAGCTAAATTATATATCGGTTACTTAGATAATTGGAAAAGGGAAACTACGTACTGATCTCCTGCTGTTTTAGTAATTAAATCGTTTGTTTGCGACTTAGTGTTGCAAACATGAACAATTGATCTCGCCAAAATGTCGACGTTCGTCCGCAAAGGGTTAACGATTAATCAATTAATCATGATCTCCGAAAATTATTAGTACAAACAACTAACAATACAATAAATCCGGCTAGAGCACTCGGATCCAAGACTATTTTAAATTACTTAAACATTCTCGAAATTAGTTGAGAAAGAATTTAAAGTAAGGATTGCTTTACACGAAAGTAAACGAAGAATCCCTTTTGCTGTTTGTACAGATTTACTCTACATGCTGTAAGTATCGAATAAAATTATCGGAATTCTGGAAAATAGTAAAGATAGCGAAGATACAGCTGAAGTACAAGCACTCTAGATTACTCATAAGAAAAACCAAACAAATGACGCACAGTGACTTTCATGAGCTTTCAAAGTAATGACGTTCAAAAATATATTTAAGTTAATAGCGAAAGATGTCAAATATCCCAGTAATCGTAAAAAAGTTATTATTTACGCAGCTTGTGCATTTTTAAATAAATTTTAGATAAGGAAGACTGACGTTAGTTATACATGCTAATTGCCTCGAGAGCTCCGCCCCTTCCCTATACACGGTATCAGTTCAGAATTGATGAAAATCCTTCCAATCTAATAGGATTGTTGGCAGTCGTAAAGTGATATCGTGGACACCCCCACTTGCTCCACTAATGTCAGCTTCTATTATCTAAATGAAACTCGTATGTACCTAAGTATGTTTACTATACATATTGTAAGAAAGAACATCAATAAATGAAAGTAAAATAGAAAAATATGGGCGTGACATGAAATTTTAAAGATTAATAACTTTTGAACCAATCATCACTGTCAGAAGATTTGAAGTGACACACAATAATGCTAAGAATATATGACAAGGTTAAGGCTATTGAAAAATTTCCTCTTTGAATAATTGCCGTGGGTCTCCAGGCTTTTATTTACCATATATATTTTTGCGAACATTTCAAAGAGTAAGAGTCTACCTGTTATATACATAAGAAAAAGCTGTTATGAATTATATCCTTGACATTTAGATTGGTAAAGAGGTCACTCGTACGGACCTAAGAATTTTTTAATATTAGATTTTAATATTATCTAAAATTCAATACGCGTCAAATTGACGTGATTAACACTTAGGCAACCACCTAAAAAGAACTATAACTACAACCTCTACCATTATCTTTGAGCTCATGATATATATATAAAACAAGAACCGTATTTGATGAATTGTAAATAATTCCACTTCAAAAGTGGAAGATCTCCCCATTCGGTTGGCTAAATGTTAATATGCTACAGAAATTAACATGGCTGAGCTTAGTTTCCCAGATATTAATTAAAAAAACGTTTGGTACGATACATTGAATTCTATACAGACGTGACTAATTAACAATCCCTGTTGTAGGAACTGTCGTCGTCGCCTGTGAAGTACCTATATATATAGCCAATGACACAATAGCAATATCGAGCTCAATATAGAGTGTCTCTTCTGAGATTAGTCCTCTTTTTAACATACAGCTTTAATGTCAGTAGATAAATATTAGATTACAGTGTACTGTATTCATCGTAATTTTTATTAATGGTGGTTTTACGTTATAATCACTAAAAATGATTCCAATCTGCAATCATAAAATACAGAAATAGAATATGAAATATTTCTTAGACTTTAGGCGCAGAAGTTACGTAGGACACCCTATAGATATTCAGGCCGATATCGCTGTTGCGTCATTGACTACCTAACAGTCGGCAACGGCGATTCCTACAGTGAGGTCATGTGTGTGTATAGAAATAATTCAATACTTAAACTCGAAAATCAAATTCAACTTAAGAAACAGCTGAAGTTGAAATTTTATATTTAGAATCCATACTCCTCTGCCCCTATTCTTCTAGTTTAATTGTAAGATATGTAGGTAATCTTTTATCAGTTTATTAGGTACAATTACAAGATAAGTTCATATTTACAATCAAATTATCATTCAAACATTAAATATAAGTATTAGTGATATGAGATGTGTATCTTTAGATACAAAAGTTATTATATCATATAATAATGTATCAACGCATATCAAATAATAAGTTGCTGTAATGTCATAAATCTCCTATTGATAATTACTTAATAAATATTGAATTAATCTCGTGTAAGAGATCATTCTTTATAAATAATTTTGAAAAATATTTAATTCCAAGAAATTAAAATGAAAATAAGAAGAATTAACTCCATTGGCATTAATTTCTATAGAACTTATCAACAATCTGTAAATGTAAGATAAATCCAGAAAATATATCCTATGTCCATGTAACTATATGTAAATTATAAAACCTCGAAAGAAGAACATGAATTATAAAATCACCAAGGGTTAATAGGAAAATACATATGCAATTATTTATATTGTAAGGAATAAGATTTTAACGTGAATGCCAAATCAATTGTTCACTTAAAGTCACTTCTCTGATTACGAGGGATATTATGCAACAGACTGTTTTCCTACAAAATACTTATATACGGTTACATTATAGACTATAAAAAGGTTTTACGTTACAGCTGATTAATATTTTTTATATACACTATACTACAGGTGTGTAAAAGGACTACATAAGGCAATTTTAAGACAATAAAGAAATCTTAAAGATTATTTATTTTATTATTTTAACATGAAAACATTGCTTAAGACAAAATTCAACTGTGAGAAGACTTTGACGATATGAATATTTCATTATTTATACTGAAATACAATCAATTCTCAAAAAGAGAACATATCTGCAGTTATTTTATATAATACTTTTATGGACCTTGTTGATAATATTTTAGTAACAATATTGTTGATATGTATTTCTATTACTATATAACAAATTGAAAATTATATATGTCACGGTTTATATACATACATTTATATATTATTTCTTTGAAATTGAGAAGAAAAAGCTAAAATTCTTATGTTCCCAATATGAATGTCGTTATTTTTGGATGCGGATAAACGTAACAGATATAAAACACCTAAGAGTTACGAATCAATATAACCTCAGTCGCTTTGGTCGCGGTCAAGGTTCTGCTGCAGGAAAGTCATTGATATTGAAAATTTGGTAATTATGTATAGAAATACATTTTAAACACATTTTTATCTAAAATAATTCTTGATCAAATTCAAAACTCTTTTTTATGGGAAACAAGTGTTACTGCGAAATATAACGCTTAACAAGTGAATATTAATTTAAATTTTAAAATTAAAATTGTTTTGTTTCAACATTTTAAGTTAGCAGTTTGCTATGAATATTAGTAGGAACGATTTGTAGAATTACAATTATAACGAAAAGAATCTGAATAAGCAACTCATAGATAAATATGCTCTGTATATACATGAATATAGTATATATAGTACATATTTCTTATCTCACGAGTCATGAGTGTTACGTAAACGTGAATTACGTTTTTATTCATACTCTTAATACGGAAATATATCTACATTATCCATTCAGTAGTAGAGACACACCTAAGCATTGCGAAATGTCCGTTTTGTACATTTTATTGAAAGTAGTATCTATATACTACTTTCTATTTTTTTGGCGTTCTTATCGTGTATATATTAGATATATACTAGACAGCAACATAAATAATAAAATTTATCGAAAAAATGTAGTAGAATTATTACTGCTATTTTATTTATAAAGAGCTGCAGTGGTAAATGAATTTAGGCCTTCTAAATGACTGCAGTAAAGTTTTCTGCAGAGTAACATGCATTTACACGCGTATAATTTATTTTGTAATCAATTTTTACATATGCAGTCAAATATAAAAAACAGGAAATTTATATATAAATATATTTTGTTCAAAATTCGAAGTGCAAAACATTACATGAATTTCATGTATTTGAAATTTGTAAAGGGAGCACAGTTGATTAATTTTGCACTTATGATAAAAATAAAAATTTTTACGATTTTAGACTTTCGATCGTACCACGTTAAGAAATCTTTGTAAGCCCTTGCCCGAGATAATGATATTACAAAATATATAAATTTAAAAATAAATACTTACCACATTGGTTGGAAGTTTATGTCCCGGCAGATATTTT